GGAGTTAGTTAAAGACAGATGGACAGATACAGATAAACTCCGGTTTATCTGAACGGATAGACGGATCCCATCTCTATTTGTTAATAATTCATTATTAATTATTAATAATGCAGGAGGTCCCATCACTATATGCATATATTTGATTTACGTAGTACACTGGACACCACAATATCTCATGCCTGTTATTATTATTATTATTATTATTATTATTTATTATCAAATCGACTAAAAAAAGTCGAGTTGACTAAATGATATAATCTGCACGCTCTATAAATGCACACCTATACAGTAATTGCACCCTATGTCTCAGCCCTAACTAATAATGACACTTATAAAATTACTCTATAAATGCACACCCTCTACAAATGCACACTTATGGTCGGTCCCAAGGGGTGCATATATGGAGGGTTGACTGTATTATGATTGGTAGCGCTCCACTTTTTTGAGGTTTTTTAATAAATATTTTAAAGTTACTGGCCAATTTTTTATAAATTTATTTGATTGTAAATTAAAAATTGAATTTTAGATATATTATTTTTGGATTTTACTAAAACGCACCTATGGTGTTTTTACACCATAGGTCCCGTTTCTCAAAAACGTACTAAGTAAACGGAATCGGGTTCTCTAAGTAAAAATGTTCAGGACCCCAAAAACCTCACAAAAACTGAGATTGGGACCTTATATTAGCTCTATAATATATTATAAAAAAAAAAATAATAATTCTTAATTTTCTAACCCTAACCCTAAATTTTATTAAAAGAAATTATGCATAGGTGCTAAAACACCATAGGTGCGTTTTATAATAATTCTTATTTTTTATTCAAAAATAATTATCATGTCAATATCAATTAAAATTAGTCAATTTATTTAAATATTAATAGAGTAAATAAAAAATATCTTATTGTTTGAATATTGAATAGTCTGAATACAAGCATTATCAATCGATAACGATAATTCTTCACAAATCACGGAAATAATTTCTTAATAGGGTTCTTAATATGGTCTGGTGAAAAAATTAATGCAATCATAATAATACAAAACAATATAGAAAACGCTAGACAAATCCATGCCCAAGCTTCTCCAAATATACCATAAACTGTTTTTACACGTTTATATAAAGGCATTTGAAATGATATTATTAAATCATCCACAGTTTCTACTGCCACGTAGGTCTGACCATAGGGTCCCCAAGCTCCAGAGATTCCATAATGACTACATCGGAATAATGTGAATCCATTTTCGATTGATCTTATCGTGTTGGTACGAAAATGATAACCAGCAACTGGACCTGAAAAAGAAATTAATGTAATTAATAAAGTATGAAATTTAAATGAAGCGCTTAATTATTATGAATGTTTATATACAATATAATTACCCTTAGTATAATGATATAACATTAAAAATGAAAATTAGTTCGAATGCTTTTAAATATCAATTAACATATCAATATGAACTTACCCAAGTATCCGAGGGCTGTATCATGAAATCAACATTATTTTCTGATGCTTGATTAATAAAACTTGGAAAATTATAGTCAAAACAAATTGCACCTCCGATAGTACCAAAATCTGAAGTAACATTAGTTTGTAAAATTTGGGGTCCGGCAGTTACTTCATATTCTACAAAAGGTACTAAATTTGTTTTGGCATAATTGATCAAAATATCGCCATTTGGTGATATTACAGTTAATTTATTATATATTTTCCCATTACTTGATGCATCAGCATAAGTAAACCCAATATAGGTTTTGTAAATTTGGGATATATTTTTTATTCCCTGTTCAAGTTCATTATATTGTGCCGTGTCATTAACAAAGACTATAGCTTCAGACCATAAAATAAATTTGCTACCATTTCGTGCTAATTCTTCTGTTCGATTAACATAATATTTAGTTTCATAATTATTGTAAGCACCAATCACACATCCAACTTTAACAAGTGAATGTGCAGCGTATGATTCAATATTTCGTTGATAGAATGGAATATATGTTGTTGAATATCGAATTGATCCATAAACAATCACCCAGAAAATAACAATAAAATAAATCATCACGGGATTGGATAATTTAATGATCTTAATGTTTTTAAATTTTCGACCTTGTCGAGTAGTATTAACATCATTTTCTATAGTTTCTATATCAACGTCATTTCCTAAAATCGGGACATTAGTATTGCTTCCTAAAATAGATGAAACATCACTTACACTTTCCAATAATTGATAAGGCATATTGTCATGATCATTATCGAAATTAGACGATATCCAAGTCTTAATCATGTAGGCACCCGTTGTTCCACCCCAGGACAAAATGAAATTTAACCCACCCAATCCAGCAAATGATGTAAATTGCGTCATTTTATTATTTCCCAAAAAGATGTATCTAAAAATATGAATACAAATATCAATACTGAATAACATAAATCACCAATATTCCATGGTTCCGCATAATTGACTACGATAAATTATTGTATAAGTATTAAAAATACTTGCGCGTAATTAGTAAGGTCACCTAAAAAACAGGTATATAAAAGTATTGTCCACGCAGCTGGTTGTATAATATAATTATAATTATTTATAATTATAATTATAATCATGCACTTTCTATAAAGAAAAAAAGAGACCTAACGCTAAGCAAATAATTTACAAACCTGTCCAGATACAGGGAAAAACAAGAAATCTGGGCCATCCTTTGAATACATTTTGAGCCAATTTATCAATAGCTAGACTAATACATGATAAAATATTCATTCCAAAACCAAGCGCTGCAGAATATAAAAAATATTCTGGTAACCAATTAGAATCATTGGTATTTAAAGTTCCTAAAAATGCTAATGCTGTTCCGAAACTGTTGGCAAAATAAAATGGAATAAACCATAGAATTGAAACAGTTCGACAGTAATATACGGACAAGGGAAACCATATCCACACAAATATTGATATTGTTTGGTATCCTGGACCAAAAAATGTTAGAATTAGAAATAATGGAATCAAATAATGAATCTTATCCATTTTTTAAAAAAAAAGTTGATTCAAATTGACACGTACGTACATATATATATTAGTGATGCAGTAGCAGGTAGTGACTAGCCAAGCACTGCTACGTACGTTCCTAAAATTCACACCCTGGTGTCACACCTAACATAACGTTAATATGACAATTGTATATCATATTTTTTTTAGGAAATATTAATTTCTTTTTAAGGCTAGAATTTACAGGGGATGAACAATTTTTTGTGGGAACGCTGCTCGTAACTAGTTACGGCATGTCCGGTAAAAAAAGGAGGTAATTCCCTTATCTTGGGTTTATAAAATTAACCGAATTTGGATAGGAGGGATTAGAAAAAAATTATAGGTCCAAAATTCAGGGTTGCTGCTCATTTTTTACCTGAAATTGCATAGGGGTTAGTCACCTCTTTTGTTATCGGTTTATCGACATTTACCCGAAAACCACTTCCCCGACAACTATTTTTCCGACAATTACTGTATTTCACCGACATGACCATTTCCCAACATGGATTGCTGGGGAAATGGTCATGTTAGGGAATGATTGTCGGTGAAATGTTTGTCGAGGAGATGGTTGTCGGGAAGTTATGTCGGGGAAATAATTGTCGGGAAAATAGTTGTCGGGGAAGTGGTTGTCGGGTATATGCGGTAAACCTTTGTGATCACCTCTTTTGTGATGGCAAGTAAATAATCTGTTGGGGAAGTGACCTTTGGGAAAATTATACATCCTACATTCTAAAATAGACGATTTTTAAATTACATATACTGTATTATAAGTGGATTCGGAATTTTTGTGGATTCAAAGAATTCACTTAAATAGATTTAGATCCAGAAACAACTTAAGTCGATTTCAAATCTTAAAAATATTATTTTAAATAGTCGAATTTTAGTAATCATGAATATGTATTTAAAAATAATCGGTTTAAAATTTCAACCCATGAATATTATTTTACTTCAAGATGAGTTTTTATCGCTCTTTTCGATTTAGTTGGATCGATGAATTTTGCAGATTTTTTTTTTGTACGTGAGTCCCGTGAATCCATGAATCCGGGAGTCTTATATACAGTATGCATATACCCTGCATATAATAATTATTTGTAATTGTTACAGCTATTATCATAACTTCTGAAACACCTGATAAAAAATTTGCCGGATGATTTTTAGCCGATCCGATTAAGT